GGCTGCCATTTTCTTTCAACTCCAGTTTCAACATGCAACCTGTTTTAATGTTTAGAGTTCCAGTCTGTGCTATTAAAAGTGTATTGGTGTATCTTTAGGAGACCCTGTACTCTGGATTCCCCTTTGACATTTGCTTGCTGTAATTTAGCCTTAGTAGGTGTGCTTTCATTTTCTACTAGTATGCATATTGGAGTGAGCGAATAAGGGTTGCAGAGGGAGACTGCATTGCTGCTAACTGTGTTATGTATAAACATTTGTGAATTGCCCTTAACTCTCCTAAGTGCTGACCCAAGAGCTAAGCCTACCAGGCATGCTAGGTTAGCAGAATCTGGGACTAGTGACAGGAGCTCACCCCATCATGCATCACCCGGGACTCAAACTGCCAACCTGCCTGTCTTGCAATCAACAGAGTCAGCGTCTTAACCACTGGAGCTACTGCATTTATTTTATTACTTTATTAGTTATACTCTTTGTTTTTTCTACATGTTCTAACATATCACAATCTAAGGCAATTTTGACTTGGGTCTTCCTCAGGATTCAGTTTATCTTGCAATGAACTAGGCCCACTAAGGCAGCTATGAAAAAATCTGATAAACCTCATACAGAGATAAAAATCAAGCATAGCTGTACTAGTCTATGAACCAGTTATGAACCACTCAATCCATTATTGACATTCAAAAGCTTGCACACTTTTGTAGCATTTGTGTAGGTTCCATTAAAGGTTTTAGCCAACCTTAGATTTTGTTTTTATAGATGGACTAACATTGCTATCTTTCTTTCTGTTTTCTTCAGGGTTAGGGTTTACATTTTACTGATTAATTCAGACTATAATATCAAACTGGCCTTGAGTTTAGCTGCAGATAATAAATGACAAGGAATGTCACAGAAAAGATATTTTTGCTGTTGTTGTTGTTGCTCCAAAAGTTACAACATGAAGCAATGGATTCAAATAACAAGAAAAGAGATCTTGCTGACTGTAAGAGCTGTTCAACAGTGTAATAGATTGCCCAAGAAGGTATGGACTCTTTCTTTGGAGGTTTTTAAACAGAGGATGGATAGCCACCCCTCAGAGATGCTTTAGCTATGCATATCCTGCATGACAAGAGTGTGGATTAGATGGCCCTTGAGTCCCTTCCAGCACTATGATTTTGAAGAGTCTACAGGTCTGGTATTGCATCTACCGGTAATATTTTGGTTGAATTCTTGAACCTCAGAATCTTGGAACTGATCAGAGTATGTTTGGCTTTCCCCTGTCCCAGAATGAGTGGATGTTTTGGGATGGTAGCAAACTACAGATTGTCCTGGGTGGCAGTCAGTTGCCAGAAGCCTGCACCAGCCCTTATAACTGTGACATGACCATTTCCCAGGTGGTATTGCATATGAGCAGTACCTGATATGCCAGTTGTCTGATGCACTCTTGCATATGCTGAAGAAAAAACTGCAATACATCTGGTTAAATACATGGTTAAATATGGGGTGGTTTAAACACCCTCACATAGGTGTTATAAACTGCCTAGTCCCACATGGTCTGCTTCTAAGTAAAGGCAACCTTGGCACAACAAGGTTGTGTTGTGTCTCTTGGCACAACATTCAGAGATGAGAAAGTGATGAGGCAAACAGAAACAACTGCCCAACACAGTGTTGGCACACCAGCTCTAGAATTTTCTCCCCAGGAAGATTCACATGGCATTATGTGATATATTTTTGGTGCAAAGTGAAAGCTTACTATTTTTTGCATATTTGCATTCTTTTCTTAAGAGTTCAGAATGTGACTGAGTAGTCATACCTTAGAAATGCCTCAATAAATAGACTAAACACCATATTAAAGGGGATAATTTTATTTATAATGTTGGGGACAAAATGGAGAATGTTTTATATGAGAACCAATTGAGCAAGAAAAAACAAGAAAGATCTTATGGCAATAGTGAACATACCAGGCATATTATGGTGTTGGGAGCTTGGCTCCATGTCAGTCTGTGCTCTGATCATAGCTCCTTCGGCCACCCCTTCCCCCCATTTCAGTGGCCATGTATTATCATTACCATCATCCACATCCACAGCGGATCCCGGAGAAGCCTTCATAAGTGAGTATCTCCCATAGTCTGGCCCACCTCAAGCTATTCCCGCTTTCACCGCTTTGCTTCTAAGTGTGTAGTGTGTGTGTGTGTGTGTGTGTGCCATATTTGTGTATGTGTCATGTTTGTGTGTGTGCAGTTTTCCCCTTTAATAATTGAAGAAACTTGTCTCAGCATCATCCGGTGCGGGATCTCTTAGTCCTCTGGTATACATATTGGTACTCCAGTCTCATGGGGTGTTGTTAGGGCCCCACTCTTGCATATTTGAGCTAATTATAAATTCCTCTAATTAGATCCTTCCTAACAAACTACAAGCCAGCTACAAGTCAGGACCCAGAAGTACTGGGAGATGTAGTCACCCTTATAGTTTCTCCATTTAGCCTAACACCTTTGGTTTTCATAAAGATAGTGAGTTTTTATTATCCAAAAAACTAGAGCAACATAATTTGAAGAAAGTCCAAATATAGGGCCATCTCTGTAAAGCTATCTGAAGCAGGCTATCTGAAAGGCTGCTGCTTGCCTGAGTTTAAGGTCTTCAAGAGAGGCCCTTCTTTCAGTCCTGTCATGACCGGAGGTGCATTTGGTGGGAGATGCAAGAGACTGCCTTCTTGGTGGCCACTCACAGGCTTTAGATGGGGTTGTCTGCTAAGGATGGTTAGATTGGCTCTCTTCCTTGTCCTTCTGGTGGCTGACAAATATTTCTTTTTTCCCCTCAGGAAGATCTTTGACTCGGAAATTAATCTCGTGTTGAAGGCAGCAATTACTTGGATACTGGTTCTGTCTTTCTGATTGTGTCTTTGTGTATTTTCTAATGTTAGTTTTAATGTTAGGTTTTGATTTTTGTTAAATACCAAATATTTTTATTCTTAGTAATCTTGATAGCCTTCTTTTAGTGGAAAGGCAGAATATAAATTTAAGAAATGAGAAAAGAAATTTACCTCCCAAAATCCACTGGAGATCTTGTTGCTCCTATTTTATAAAAACCTGCACTTTGCTCTGGACAAGCATAGGGGTGGTCACCTGGTGTCACCAATGGAATGCCATTTCTGGAGGCAATTTCATCCACTATGGTTACAAAGAAAGGTATATTTAAATAAGGAATCTGTAGCCATTTGTATTTAGAAAGCCATCTTTCTCCAAAAGGGGCTGCATGCATATACATGCCAGAACAATAATTCAAATATAGGCATGTTGACATAAAACAAAAAATCGCTTACTTAAAATTTAAATAGTGTCATTTCCTATAGCCACCATTTTGATAACTGGGCAAGTCTACTTGCTGAAAGACTCATTGGCCATGGAAAGTTTCCCATAGGTTTCCTCCTTCCCACAGCAGTCTCTTCATCTAATTTATACTCAGTCCTAACTAATAAGGCTTGTGGAAGGAATAGATGAGATGAGGGGAGCATTCCTCCTTCAGTTGACAATTTCTAAAGGAGTAAACATGTTAGGCTGTTGCATCAAAACAACATAGAGTACTTTGGCAACTTTAAGGCTGAAAGAACTGCGTGTGTTTAGCCTAGAAAAGAGAGAGAGGAGATGGGGTATAGGTCTGCCTGGGTGGAACTTTATGCCCTATCTTCTAAAGCAGGATCTCAGTCATTTTTTTGGCTAGAACTCATTAGTAATTTTTTTAAAAAATTCCAAAATAACCCCACATCATAACATTTTGAAGTCACAAGCCATAAATGTTACTAATCATGCAAAAAAGAAGGAAGGAAGGAAGGAAGGAAGGAAGGAAGGAAGGAAGGAAGGAAGGCGTAATCTTTACAACATTCTCATTAAAATGCTTAAAATTAACTATGGCTGCATCTGCACTGGAGAAATAATCCAGTTTGACATCACTGGAATTGTGACAGCACAATGCTATGGATTTCGGTGATTTGTGGTTTTGTGAGATACCTAGCTTTCACTGTCTGAGACATCTGCTGATGCAACAACTTACAATCCCCAGAAGTCCACAGCACTGAGCCATGGCAGTAAAAGTGGTGTCAAACTGGATTATTTCTGCAGTGTGGACACCACTTACATTGGTCTTGCATGACAAAAAAAAAAAAGGAATGGGCAACACCCACAGGAATAATAAGCAATAAAACTAAAAGTATTAAATAAAAACTTGAAAAACTGAAATAGCCCTCCATGTCATTTTCAAAGAGCTGGCTATACAGCTGGAAGAAAATATTAATTATCTATACATCTGAAAATTTTGTAATTGATATAACTCAAATGTACATATGGGTTCAATTTAGAAAAACTCTTATTTATTTATTTATTTATTTATGTTATATCCTGCCTTTTTCTCAGCATGGGAATCAAGGCACCTCATAACCCTTTAAAAACACAATACAACTAAAAAGCTATTAATACAAAAGTTAAAGCACAATTAAATTTAAAACCACAAGTTGGAAATACATGTTAAATGCAATTTTTAGAATACATTTAAAACAGAAGGCCCTCTCCTATATCCTTAACCAAACTCTCTTAAGGTTCAGTTACTGCTACTGTAAGATTTCAGATAAAATATGCTCTTATTGTTGGGCCCAACAAAAACTTAAATCCAAGATTTGGAATGCCATCAATGCCATTATAATACTAAGGTTAAATATAAAACCATTTGGGGAGATTTACCAAATTTCTTCCTTCCCATACACATCTCCACAGTCTTTTCAGATGAGGTGGTTTTGTTTCTGAGGTGGATACCATCAAAGATACACTTCTTTCCAGTATAATAAGTACGATTACCAGACGTTGGATAAAAAGTCCATTCCATGCCTGAGTTCTCATTTTCTCCTGAAGAAGAGGGAGGAGGAGGAGGAAATACACTGAAAATTTTGAATTTAGAAAACCTACCCAAGATCTAGTCATTCATAGCAAATAGCAAAGTCAATTTTTGGGAATCCTTCTCTTTTGAATTGGATAATGTGAGCCAGTGTGATGTAGTGGTTTGAGTGTTGGACTACAATTCTGGAGACCAGGCTTCTAGGGTTCGATTCCCAGCTTGGCCATGGTGACCTTGGGTAAGTCACATGCTCCCAGCCTCAGGAGAAAGCAATGGCAAACCTCTTTGAATAAATAAATAATAATAATAATAAATTTTATTTTTAACCCACCCCTCTGCAAGGCAATCGAGGTGGTGTACAAAGTTAAAACAAGACAGCTGTTAAAACAATTCCATCCCCCCAATCCCTAACCCACCCACCCCATAAAAGTAGAATTAAACTAGTAGAATAATTAAAATATCAAATAAATCAACAACAATAATTAAAACATTAGAACAACAGTGCTGTCAGGAAGCAGTAACCATCCAAACTCTGATGGGGCGGGAGAATTATTCCAGGAATTATTGCCAAGAAAACCCCATGATAGGTTGGTTTGCCTTAGGGCCACCATAAGTTGGAAATGACTTGAAGGCATACAACAACAAATTTCAGCCTCCAATTTCATCTATTTCATTCATTCATTCATTCAACCTTTATTAGACATATAACAATGAAATTTACAATAAAGTATTTATGTACATTTGTGGATAGTGGATCTGTATGTACATTTTTCTACAGCACACTGTGTGTGTATGTGTACATCCTTCATGTTGCCTGTTGACTTATGATGACCCCATGAATTTCATAGGCATTTCTTAGGCAAGGAATCCTCAGAGATGGTTATGACAGTTCCTTCCTCTGAAATATAGCCTACAGCACTTAGTATTCATTGGCATTCTCTCATCCAAGTACTAACCAGGGCTGACCCTGACTAACTTCCAAGATCAGGTGGGATTTGGTGCCTTTAGGGTATTTAGGCCCTTGTAGCACAAAACATGGACATGCACACATAGAAATCTGACATGGGGAAGAAGCATTATACAGTGATAAAGAACCAGCTCGGTGCACAGAGGATCACTTACATCTCCTGCTAGAAGGCATCTGAGCCACTCTTTTGAGCCAACTACTTGCTTAGTTAGAGGAACATCAAGGGATATGTATCAGCCTTGTACCAGTGTTTATTTGCATCACTGGCACTGAAGAACGCAGAATGTTAGCAACCATCTGAGGCAATTAGGTTACAGATGGCCACTTGGTTAAGCTACCTGACTCAACTATTAGAATTGCCATCAGTATTATTCTGGAGGAGGAATGCTTTGTGGCTTCCAATTCCATTTAAAAATAAATATTTTAGTAGAATAAGCAGCTGTGAAATCCAGAAACAAACAGAAAAATTCCCACTGCAAGGCTGCCTCACAGTCTCTGGCAGTAAAGGTTCTCTCTTTTGATAATAAATATTCACATTAGCAACAGCAATTTCTTTCATGTCATCTGAAATTAGTACAAAATTAATTTCTTTTCCATGGAAGTATTTAAAATCTTGGACTTAAATTTGCTATTAGTGTACGTGATGTGGAATAAGAAAACTAAGAAGTATGTATAATAAAGCAATGTTAATGCTATGCTGCAAATAAGCAGTTAGTATTACATCTGACTGTAGTTTTACTCACGTGGGACAAAATTCTGATGTCTTCCTTTGACTAATTGATCAGTTTCTTCTACCAAATTTGTTTCAGAGGGAAGCGTGCTAGAATGGTGAGGAGATACTGATGAATAGGAACTTAATACCAGTGAAGGATTGTGCCTGACAAAAACAAAAAGGATACAGGAAATTATCTACTTATTAATCATCTGAATGAACTAATTGTGACTATTTGTGGATCTGGCACATACTCAGAAGGACTGAGCTCTCTGGAGGGCTTACTCGGTGCGTCTAGATTTTCTTGACTGCCATTGTTACCCTGGAAGGAATCTAATGTTGAGTCTTGTTCCTGAAGTCCACTAGATTTTGTTTTGCTGTCATTTAGCTCTGGAAGACAAAGAGTAATCCATGATAATTAACTACATTTGAAGAGAGCTGAAGGTGCCTAACAAAATGAACAAAATTCATAACAAAATGAATTTTTAAATTACTTCCTGCATGGTTGTCTCATGATCTGATCTCCTGGCTGCAGCACACTTTTGTGACAATTTACAGGGCCACACGCTTCACTTTGACTTGATTACTCAGCTACCACAAGTTAAAAGACTTGCTATCTCCTTTTACATGAATGCTACTGTCTGGGTGGGTGGGTGGCGGTTGTACCAGCATACACAAAGGTTGAATGGACATCTCTCTAGAGTGATTTGTATATTCCCGCATGGTGGGGGATTGGATTAGATGGCCCTTGTCGTCCCTTCCAACTCTATGATTTTATGACATCCAAACTAGACATGACAGTGTGGATCATGATCAGATTAAGCTTGGTGGACAAATCAGGTGAGATTGAAATAATTTAGCAGACTCGGTCAGTGGTAAACTGGTTCCAGATTTTCTCAAATGAAGCTGATTGTTTAGCCACACATATTACTCATAAATAGGATAAATCTGTTGTGTAGTGGAAAAATTGTAGGATTAAGACTAGAAGATCCAGGTTAACATTCCCACTCAGCCATGACATTGACTGGATAGCCCTGTGCTGGTAACTTCACAAAGGTGCTATATGATAACATGGGGGACATTTTTGCCTGTTGGCAGTAAAATAATATGGTCTTTCTCATCTCAACAGTGTTTCTAAGTGGCCTTATCTCCGATTTAAACAGCATCTCAGCAAACTAAACAGAAATTAAAATTCCAATTTTGTCCCAGTTAGAGTAGTAGACCATTTGCAATCAATTACTGAATATTAAAGCAAGGCATACATAAATCCCATTAATTCAATGAAATTCTCTGGTTCATCTTGGGTCCAGCAATAAGAAAAGCTCTACTTGTCTGCTACCTGGGAGAAAGAATGCCCCTCCCCCCAAACAAATTGAGACAAAGGCTGGATTGGATTTGGATTTATCTCAAATAAAATAATCTTAAATAAATGTCTCTGCTTCTCTGCCTCCATGCCTTTATCATTTAAATAAATGTAAGAGATCTGTAACTCCTATACCTTTTAGTTAATGGAGAAGGTAAATTAAAAATGACCAAACTGGAGACTCAATAATGAAATTCATTGACAGCAATGACAACCAAACATGTCAGTCTTTGTATATGCCATTTTTTTAAAGTAATAATTGAATTACTAATGGAATGAACTGAACATTTCCCTTCCTAATGTTACAAATAATGAATTTTATCACCACCACCATCACCTGCCACTTCCTAACAAGCAGCATTAATGTCTTAAGCTGTAGTACTACCAACATCCTGGTACCCAAACTATTCGTGGTAGTACTACAAAAAAAATGGAAAACTGTGTTACATATATTGTATATATAGCTCTGCACTCTGTTGTAAGGACCAAAAATTTATACTGGAAGGGGGATGCAGAAATAGCCATGTTGAGCACAAAATAAAAATATAGATTTCAGTGATACCTATATTAGACCAACTAAAAGGCTTTTGATGCCCACTGTCTTCTTCACCCAATAAAGATGGCGAAAAAGATGTCAGTGAAGAAAAGTTACAGTGTTATAGGTCTGCTTCTAACTTAGGGAGGCAAACAGAAGGGTTAGGCAACACCCTTAGGATGGGAACGAAAGGACAGGAATAGCTCAATTTAAAAAGCCTCTGAGAAAGAAGTTCATTTTTTTAAAAGGCTTGTCCCCTTTTTTCATCATCCTCTTGCTAGCTGGATTTTTAGCAGCATTAGCATTAGGAAGATGGTGAAGAAGATTTGGAGCAACAGGTTTCCAGTGGTGTGTCTGCAGTAAACAATGCAATTAAGATTGAGATGGGAGAAAATGTAATAGTAATTTAGCCATTCTATGGTAGACATTTGTGCCTTCCTAGCACAGGACAAGTAAAGAGCAGCAGCCCTGAGAATCCCATAGTGAGTGTGCATGAACTGCGAAATAGAGATAAAAGGGGAAAGTAGATAGCTTGCCTTATCAGCTACCCCAAGCCTGTCAAAAACCTAGATCTATATGTTTGATCACCACCATGGAAACTGTAAGTAAGATGGAGGATGGTGGAAGAAAAAAAGTCCTCCCTGGATACATTTTGGAATAAAGATTTCAAGAGGCTTTCAGAAGGTTTTCAATGTTTTTGTTTAGTTATGCAAGACTTACCAGACCTGGTTATTTCATTTCACATGTGCATATGGTTAGTTTTGAATGGAAAATTCGCTCAAATACATTGAACTGCTATTCTTTTGTATGTAATGTTTTTTCTATATTATTTCTGCCTCTGGTACTACATTTTCTGTTAAAGGAACATTATCTACTTCATTCACTGAAATATACCTGTAGGAGAAAGGCAATACATTTTTTCTATTGGCAGATGCAGAGTCCTTCCTTTTGAGGTCTAGGTCTGTCTCTTTGCTATGTAAGGCCTTAGGCCCCCTTGTAGTAAGTAGACTGCAGGGAGTTCCTTAGGAAGGCCCTGTACCATCAGACCTGGGACTAAATTTGTAACAAGCAAGTCAACAGGAACCAAATTGGATGGAACAAATCCTAAGACGATCACAACCCAGTGTTAAGATTACATAAAGTCCACTTCCTCCTGCTTAGGACCCCCTTGTTTAGGAGCTTAGTATTTTGTATCCCTTTGTTACTACAAGTTAAAGCGATCTAATTTAACATTTAACCTGTTAAAGTTATGCCACCATGTACAGATTAATGGAAGGCAACAAAAGCATTCTTTGACAGTACTCTGCATAGCCACCTTACCATTCGCATCATCCTCAGACGGCTCTGCACTTCCTTCTGCTTTCATCATGGTGTATGGTTGTCTAGCATTCAAAAAGTCCGCTTCCACTCCAAGAAGATGGCATTACTACTCTCCCTCTAGGCAGTATGCTACATCATTACAAAATGGAGTCTGCACTAACTCTGCTGCCATCTGGATCAACTGTTCTGTTGTCCTTTGGGTGCCAAGGAAACAAAGGATAGCAAACAAGGAGGGGGGATTCTGTGTGGTCCCTACATAAATTCTTAAGGAAAGTTCTTGCTCTTCAGTGAACAAATGGATTTATGAAATTGCTTCAATCCTGCAAAAC